TTATAAAATACAATCACAACAAGTTAAAAAGTCAAAAACTTTTTTTACAAATTTAAAAAGTTATATCTATCACAAAAATTGTTCAATCACAGATAAAAATATGGTATGCTAAATATGAAAAATTAAAAACAACTAGACCAAAATCACGACAAAATCATAAGGTGAGGGGAGCCGTATAATCAGCTATAATTAGATAAATTGAAAGGAAAAACGAACAAGGCAATAATCAAATCATACCTCAATGCACAAATTAAAAGAAATTTACTTAAATTATTTTGAGTTAAATGTATTTTGAGTGATATATTTTTTTATTTATTTTTTGTATTAGTAATGTAAGTTAGGAATTAATTATTTCAATCTGTATATGCTGATATTCAATTTTGTAGGATAATTTTTTTAGTTATGTTAGTTAGGAACAAGTTAAGAATTATGTTCACTTTTTTATTTTTTAATTAGTATATGTTGAATTTTAATTTATATTTTAAATTTATATATTGTTGAAAATTAATAATTATTTTAGTTTAATTTTTAGAAATTTAATATTTATTTTATTTTATATGTGGAAGAATTATTTTTTATTTTAATTTAATTAAACTTGTGTTCTTTCAAATAAAAGCATACTCACACAAAAGTGAACCTAGGAAGTACAACCACTCGAAAGAAATAAAATTAGTTAGAGCTGTTAACATTTACACATTTACACATTTACACTTTTTTTTCTTTCAAGTTACAGAAACCTTAAAAGTATGCGTTGCTCACTATAACAGGACACATCCTGTATAAAATATTTTTGTTAAATAAATCGACATTTAAAAAAATTAATCAATGGTCCTGATATTACACATTTTATTAGTTAAAATGCAATAGTATTTTAAAGCAAATATTTTAGCTATTGGTGAAGGTTTTAAATTTGTATATTTTCTATTTTCTTTTCGTGATTATGCATTCTAAAACTCCAGACGGAAATCTTTTATGTATTTTCGCAAATTTTGCAGTTGTTACAATAGAAATTCAGAGCCATTCAGTAAAGAATCACGATCTGATAATACTTCGAATAAAAATGCGGGTTTTAAAGAAGCAATTTTTTTATATTTTCTACTTTTCACTTTATTTAAAGATTCAAATAATGAAAATATTTTTATTTTGTATTTCAGGTTATATTTCTTCTTTTCTATTACAAATTGAAATTTATGGGCTTAATTAAAATCTATTAAACTAAGTGAAGCACAGCTGTTGCTTTGAAATATCTCGTTGTGTTCCATTTTAGCAGCTTTAAGTTATTAAAGGAATATCTTTTCAGATATTTATTAAAATATAGGTTTGTTTAAATTAGGAATTTATTGTTTATTCTATTATAGATTTTTTTTGAGATAGTAATTAAATATGAGAAATATAATATTAATAATAAATAATTTTATGCATATAAGAAATTATGTAAACATTTATAATATATTTGGCATTATATCTGTAATTCTATATTTATCAAAAAAGAACTTATGAAATCGCCAAAAAATATCAAAAATAAGACTCTTATTTTTATATATAGTATATTTTCTACAATTTTAAAACTTTTTAGAATATTTTTTCTATATAATTTCAAAATGTTACTTAGGTATTTTTAAATTTTAATATATTAACTTGGTTACAATGAAATATATGTCATATTATTAATTTAATTATAAATATTTATTAAATGCGTTAAAAAAAAGCTACAATATTGTCAAGACTTAAATATAGGCCAACTTGGGTTTAGATCAAATTGGGAAAAATCATATAATTCTAGTAATGTAGACACAAGGGAATCGTTCATCTATATGTCGAAATTACAGTATTGTGTAATTTTTTACAATATAGCTTTAAGTTAGTTTTTAATACTGTAATTTTTATTGTGAAATGGTATGCGGTAAATATAAGTTTTTATTTTTCTAAAAAAATATAATTAATGTAAAATAAGTAGTATTGTAAGGCACATAATATAATAATTATGTTATAAAAATATTTTAAATTTACGTCTTAAATAGATATTGCCATTATTTATTACTGAAAGAATATTAATAGAATTTATTTAAAAGATAAAAAAAACAGATAAATAACAATCATAAAACTACAAATTGTGAAGTAGTTAGACTTAAATTTCAAAGAGTTTTATTTTTGTGAATAATTGTTGTGATTTGGAACTAAAAAATATATTCTTCTTTAATTAGGATTGATACCATGAATTATTGCACTTTTTTTTATAAAAGTTGTTTAAAAAATAAAAATAAAAATAAATAAATACTATCATAAAAATTCCAATTATGTCATTCCTAGTCTAAAATCTAGAAAAGTTTTATTTTTGCGAAAAAATTTGTATACCACAAAATCAGAAATAATTTTAGTTATTTTGACAAAGATTTCAGATTTTGACACAATTTATTAATACAAGTTATTTAAAAGATATTTTAAAGAGTAAAAATAACAACAAAGAAATTTCACTCACAAAACTACATAATATGCGATATCTAGCTTTAAATTCTATAAACACCTAGCACTAAGTTTTCTGAGAAAGTGTAACTGCTATTAACCATAATATTTAGTCATTAAAATACATTAATTACACTTACTACTTAATTAGTAGTAAGTGTAATGCATTACTACTTTTAGTATTTAATTAACTTAGAAAAAATACATTTTTTCTAAATTAATTAAGTACTAAATTTAATTTAAGTAGTAAAATTAATTTAAGTACTAAATTTTTACTTTTATTATCATATCTATTACCAAGTTTTAAAAAAGGTATTTCAAAAAGTAAAAATTAAAATAAAGAAATGATCATCATAAAATTTCAAATTATGATATATTTAAAGTTAAATCGTATATCCTTTCATTCTTCTAAGAAAATGTATATAATTTATGATTATTGTTTGTTCCCAGTAATTAATATGTAGATAAAAAAATCGTGGGTATTTGGGAAGGCTCGAAAAGAAACAAATATATTATTTGCCACGTCTCGCGACTTTGTTGTCGCTTCTTCAAGCACTACAATATATGGAGTACCGTAGTTTGGGGCGAAATTGAAAACCGGTGGCAAGATTGATAATTACATAGTTTAGTAACATTTTTAAGTTTAGCGCCAAATTTATGCAACTAGAAGCAGTGGTGTGCATCAGTCTTGTTTAGTAAAGCTTTGATGACAAGACGTATGCAGTCGGGTGTGCTATTTTTTATCTATTTTTTTGCAAAAAAAACGCGGTTAAAATTAATTAACTAAAATTAAAATTTTCGGACTATCGCAAACTTTAGCTGGTAAGTAAAATACAATGATAATTTTCCTTATTTGGCCTTTATATACATGTTAGTTTATGTCTTCTGAGCCGCCATGTTGGGGCGCTCGGCAAAAAGTTTAATAAGTTCGCGGAATTTCAAATTTTTAAGGCCGGAGTCAAATTGATTACATACATGGGGTCGATTGATGACGAAATTATAGAAGAAATAGAAGAAGAGACGGAATATTTTTCAGTAAAAAAAAATTTAAAAGAAGGAGCGTTTTTGCTGGTTAAGGTCTTAGGGGGCAATCGATAAAAAAACAGTGTATAGAAGCTGACCGATGAAGAAGTGGAAGTGATGGGTATGAAATCCATTGGTGCTGCGAAAAATAAATCGTGGAAGGTGATCAATTTGATATTGATAACTCTGACATTCTAGCAGTGCTTCCAAACCCTAAAATTAGAGATATCGACGGTGAAGCTATATACATATTTCAAAAAGACATCGATGTTAAAGAAATTTAGTTTGTAAAAATTTAATGTTTGGTTTTATTCTAGAAAATAAGTTTTTTTTTATTTATTTTATCGAGTTAAGTCATGACCTTTAAGCAGAAGTTTTATCTCAGCCAATGATTTATTGCAAGGTTTGCATTTTTTATTTTGTATTAAAAAAACACTTCTCTTTGTCGTTTAATAAACATGTTCAACATTAAAAACTAGATATTTTTTTGAATGTACCTACAGCCACCAACAAAATTAAATTTATAGCCTGTAAAATATCTATTTTACGCTGGCTTTAACCTGAACACATAATAATAAAAAATAAAAATATGTTTTTAGGTTAGAAACTTAATTTTGTGGGCGATTGCACAAAAAGTTTGGTAGTGATCAATTTCACCCTTATGATCAATTTGACCCCGAGATCTTTGAAAATGAATAATTTTTAAACTAACAAAAATATTTAGGTCAGGGTGAAATTGATCATTTCATATGGCTTCTTCGGTACGTAGATGCAATATGAAAGAGGTGATCAAATTCGCCCCAAATCCAGTGTGAATTTGATCAGCTCCATTTTATTTTTTTCTGAGAATATTTAAAATAATTTTAAAATTCTAGTACTCAGAATCGCTATAGAATATTCTTATAAAGTCATCTATATTTTTTTAAAAATAAAATATCTTATATTCAAAGTTATACAGGCCAAATAAAAAAATAAATAATCAATTTCACCCCAAACTACACAGCTGAACTTGTTTCCTTTTGAGCCTTCCCAAATACATTCGATTTTTTTCTCTATAAACTTATATACTATTAAATATAAATTATAGTTATATATTTTACCTAAAAAATAAATTTACTTAAAAGACGCACTAAGATTTTAATCTTTCAATTTATTTTAAACTGTAGATTTGGACACGATTTATTAATAGAACAAGTTATTACCTTAAAGAGAAAAAATAACAAAAAAACACGATAACAAAACAACAAAATATGAGATTTCTATTCTGAATTTTTTTATGGTTGCCAAGCCAACTACAACCGTAATTTTTAGTTATGTTTTGCTTAAAAATACATTTTTTTTAATTTAAGTACTAAAATTTAAAACTTTCAATTCATTTTAAACCCTAAATTTTGGCATCATCCATTATTGCAACAAGTTTTTAAAAAGTTATTACAAAAATTAAAAATAAAGAAACGTGTATCCGAAAACTATAAATTATGACACATTTCAACAACAAAACAAAAATTACTCACCAGCCGTGCTGACATGCGACACCGCCAAACTTTCGAAAGTAAACACGACGCAAAGAAAGGCGCCAAAACCGCGCAGCGACGCCATCTGTTACTGTGAGAACGAGCGGCAGCGTGCCGCATGGTCGACTGAGGCCGGTTCGCCGAGCGTCGCGACGCTTGAAACGGACTTGTGACGCGCGCCGTCGCCTTGGGTTTGTGTGCGACGCGTGCGGGCATAAATAATTAGGAAAGTGTTTTAAGAAAGGTTAAAAGAAGGATTAAGTAGTAATGAAGGAACTGGCAGGAAATGGGTTATATGTACAGGGTTGTTCACCACATACGACACGGAGTATTGTAGCTAAACGATTAGATTTTTACAAATTGTAAGTTTTGGGTTCGTTGAAGGACTATTAGAGCTACAATTTAAAAATATTTTTACAAGATACAGAGTGTCCCAAATAAGTAAAAAATATCATAGTTGTATTTTTTTAAATAGAACACCCTGTATATTATTCTATTTTTCGATTCTACGATTGAAATAAAGGTAAATTTGAGTAAGGTTTATCACACTTAAACCTTACCGTTTTTGAAATATTTTCAATTTTAAGAAATTGCAGTAAAAATTTTAATGCTTCATTTCTCCAAGGCTATTAAAGTTTTTAATACTAAATATTTACTGAAGATTATTTATTGATCAGATATTGCGTTGCAATAATAAAAATTTTACTACCTTATACAGAGTGTCCAAAAATTTATATTAAATAATTACTAGCTTTAAACGGCAATAACGTGTTTAAGTTAAATGGAACACCCTGTATATTTTACGTGAATCATATGCACAATTTAATTGTCTATCAAATTTTATTATACCATTTTTTACCTATCTCTGCAACTTTTCGTAGAAAATGCATTTTCTTATAATTTAGACCTCATTTATCACTATACCTATGGAATATTGACATTTCAGACTTTTTTTAAGCAACATATTTGCAGAAAATGTACAAGTGGTAAATATTACAAGCCTATTGGTATACCAAAAAAACTATTTAAATCTTTATAAAAGAGTATACGAATTAAATATACCACCATTATTTCCGACAAAAATTAGTTAATTACATACTTTTAAATTGTTTTAATTAATAAAGTATTCTAAATAAATGTAGATTTGGCTCAGAAATCAATATAATAATAAATTATGAAAATAAACGTCTCTGTTTTTAGAAATCAGCATTCGTCAAAAAATGAAATAAAATTTATAAGGCGTTACTTTTTACCACACTGTCTAATACACACACAAAATTCAGTTTTTTGTATTTGGAGCAATTATTATTAATCAACATAAACAGTCAATTAATGTATTCTGAATACTGGGATCACATTAATTGGTCCTTTTTAACAAAAATATTTAAACCGGTTTTTAAATTTTTTTTATGAAATAAGCGAGCTATATCGACAATATTAGTATCTGTACTCTTGGAAAATTTGTTACATCTTTAAAAATAATCGAAAATATCAATATTCCATGGGTATAGTGATAAATGAGGTCTAAATTATAAGAAAATGCATTTTCTACGAAAACTTGAAGAGATAGGTAAAAAATTGTATAATACAATTTGATAGACAATTACATTGTGCATCTGATTCACGCAAAATATATAGGGTGTTCCATTTAAATTAAACACGCTATTGCTGTTTAAAAGCTAGTAATTATTTAATATACATTTTGGACACTCTGTATAAGGTAGTAAATTTTTTATTATTGCAACACAATATCTGGTCAATAAATAATCTTCAGTAAATATTTAGTATTAAAAACTTTGATACCCTTGGAGAAATGAAGCCTTAAAATTTTTACTGCAATTTCATAAAATTGAAAATATTTCAAAAACGGTAAGGTTTAAGTATGATGAACCTTAATCAAATTTACCTTTATTTTAATCGTAGAATCTAAAAATGAAATAATGTACAGGGAGTTCCATTTAAAAAAATACAACTATAATATTTTTTACTTAGTTGGAACACTCTGTATCTTGTAAAAATATTTTTAAATTGTAGCTCTAATAATCCTTCAACGAACCCAAAACTTACAATTTGTAAAAATCTAATCGTTTAGCTACAATACTCCGTGTCGTATGTGGTGAATAACCCTGTATAAATGATACTATTAGGTTTTCTTGTACCTTTTTATTAGCCCAATCACTTAAGTTGTAATTTAACAAAAGAATAAAAAGTCAAAAATTTTGACGCTATTTGATGATTAAGTATACAGGGTGTTCCAAAAAACATAATTTTATTAATTTGGCTTAATCCAAGTTTAATATACTCTGTTTTACGACTCAGGTAAGATTTCGGCAGATGATAATAGAAAAAAAGGAGAAGACGTCCATACCAATAACGTTATTTCACTAAAAAAATTTCTAATATTTTCTAAGTTAAATATAAATGGTTTATTTATTTACTGAGTGTATCTCAAAAGTGGCTCACCCGTATAACTTTTTTATTTTTTTTTGGATAAAAACTAGATTTGATATTACTATATGACACATATTAGGAGTGATTGACGTAGTCAATTGTTTTTAGTCACTTTCTGTTTCACCGGAAAAACTACAACTTTTGATTTTTAAATGGCACCCTCGGTATCTTTTTACTTTATTCGATAGAAAATGATACTCTAAATAGAATGAAGTATGATCTGTCAACTTTTGACTTTTTCGCATATAATTTATTGGAAATTGTAATACAGGGTGGCCCATCGAAAACGTTCTGTTTGTGAGGGGGACAACTTTTGCACCAAAAATTATAGCAAAATCTTTAACCCCCTAAGCGGGGGGTGTCGTCCCCCAATTTTTTTTAAAAGGGAAGGGGGGTCAAGTGGCACCACAATGAAAAGGGCTCTATATTATTCTCTATACTTTCCCGCTTCGTTTTTGAAAATCGGTCGAGTCATTGAGAAAATATGAAGGATTGAAATTTGAAAAGTTTATTTAAACATTTATCCGAGTAAATGATAAGGATAAATTCCTTCGACCAATTTTCTCTTTTTTCTTATTATTTCTAGATGTTTACGCATTTTTTCACTTGCCATAAGGTTGAACGATCAGGTGCGGTAGTTGCTAGATAGCTGTTCTTTGACTTGTGCGTTGAAGTTCTACTCAATATCGTTAAACTTTTTAACAATTATTATGGTGTACTCACTTGCAGAAAAAGTGGAAATAATCCAACTTTATTTTACAAATAATGGATATTCAATGAACGCCATCCTGATAAACACCTTTATGGCAAAATTGTTCAAGAGTTAGCAGCAAAATTTCGTAAAACTGGTTCCGTTATGAATAAAAAGAGGCACAGGGAAAATCCTGTAGTAAATGAAGCTATGGAGGTATTCGTGTTGGGTCAAGTTGCCATAGATAGTACGCTGAGTACAAGAAAATTAGCCAATGAGACCGGCGTGAATCGTTTCAAGCGTCCAAAGGATATTAAAAAACACAAGTTCAACTCGTACAAAATTCAGTTGGTACACTTGTACCATCAGTACTTAGTCAGCGAAGACGTTTTAAAATAAAGCAAAATAAAGTTTATTTTTAAAATAAAGTACAATTATTTCCACTTTTTCTGCAAGTTGAGGAGAACTTCAACGCAAAAGTCACTGAACAGCTATCCGCACCTGATCGTCCAACCTTGTGGCAGGTGAAAAAATGCGTAAACATCTAGAAATAATAAGAATAAACAGCAAATTGGTCGAAGGAATTTATCCTTATTATTTACTTTGATAAATGTTTAAATTAACTTTTCAAATTTCAATCCTTCATATTTTTTCAATGACTCGCGGGAAACTATAGAGAATAGAAATCCCTTCTCACTGCGGTACCATTTGACCCCCGTTCCCGTTTGAAAAAAATTGGGGGATGATTGAGATTTTGCAATCATTTTTGGGGCAAAAGTTGTCCCCCTCAGAAACAAAATTGACGTGTTTTTGGATTTTTTGAAAAAAAAAAACCCTGGCCGTTATGCCTTGGTGAACGTTTTCGATGGACCACCCTGTATGCAGTTCCTAACAAAAATTTGACTCAAAATACCAAGTGTGTGGTACCAAATTATTCTTCTTATCTTTTGTTCATTATTTATAGTGATTATAGTAATTTTGTTAAATTATACGAATATTCTCGTTGATTATTGGGTTGAAATAAATATGACAATGTTCTCCAATAAAAATGCGAGTTGCTTAACTCTAATAATTCTAATTCTGAGCTAGCAAATGAGCTTGATGCTTTACCTAGACCGTTATTCAGATCAATGAAAATATGCATGAAAATTTACTTTCGAGCACACAGCCAGAGGATATTGGTACACATTAGGTACAGGATGGCTCAAATTCGACGCTCATCATTGGGATTTCGGAAACCGTAAGAGATACAGGATCGGTTAAATGGAGGCAATGTTGCGCAATTTGATGCTCAATAAAATGCCGTATTGCATTTTGAAAAATTCCGAATACTTCCGAATATATTCGAAAAACAAAACGGAATTTTTAATTTTGTTTTCTATTGTTTCTTGGCTTTATTTGTTAAGATAACTAAAAATTAAAAACACATTTTCATGACCACTTTTTGTGCTCTATAACTCTGTGTGATTAAATATTAACTCTGACGTTTTGGCTTCTGGCGACCATCATAAACTTAATTTTTTTAAAGACGGACTTTTTTTTTATTTAATTAAATCCTTTCATCACTCTTAAAACACTATATATAGTCACTTTGACATTGGCCGACGTTTCATACAGAAAATTCCATCACCAAAATATTTTATGCAAAAAAAAAATAAAAATGTATACGGCATTTTATTGAGCATCAAATTGCCACCCTGTACAGTATAAAGTTTATTATAATGATTTTCTTAGCTTTAAATGAAATGTTTTTGATGTTTGCGCAATGGTGCGATCCTCACCACTTTTTTTTTGGGTAGGTCTTCTGTCAAGGCCTCGGCGTGTCACGGCCTTGAATTTTTACTCCCATCGCGCGTAAAGAAGTTTTACTTCAATAAACTACTTTGAAAATAAAATGACACACCTATCACTATCAAGGATTTTGTCGTTGGACAGGCTATAGCAACCTTTAAATACTTTTAATGTCATT